GTCATGTCACTTTCTCTTCCGCTGGGACACCGTACCCAACACCCACAACTCAGGAGAGGTTTACTTGGGGTCATATTCCAGAATTTATAGTCCATGTTTGGCAGGAGCATTGAGCACTGAAGCAGCATGGTGAAAGGGACTGGCAGGGCAAAGCTGCTCTCGTCACCATGTCCAGGAAACAGAAAGGGGAGGAGCCAGAGAGGAAGATACACCCTTCCTGGTCATGGGTTGTGATGATCAGACTCCACCTCCTAAAAGCAAGCCAGCTACCCGGCCCTTGTGATTCAGTCACCTTCCAAAACCCCTACCTATGAACACACAGCCTTTGAGGTTCTTTGTCTGGACCATAAGAGCGTGTTTGGCAATATGTGGACAGCATAGGGTGTGCGGCAGGATACCATCTTTCCTGGGCTCCTCTTCCTGAGCAGGAGCCTGGGAGGCACAGCAGGCTCTGCAGGACACAGCCTGGGTTGTAGGTCCCTTGACTCATTTTTATAAACATAAGAGCAGAAGTATGACAGAATTAGTGTAGGAATGATGAATAATTATTGAATGAGTGAGTATATTAAGTACCCTCAATTTAGACTCTTGGAAAGTTGGGCTAGAGGAATCCTTTGGGATCATGTAGTTTAACAACCATTTGAATGACTTAATACTATATGTTCTCACATCTAATACTGAAACACTGAGCTTTGTATCTGTGGAATTGTGTGTCTGCTGAGGAGGGCCACGTTTAAGGGGTATGAAGGTGAAATGTGTCATTTCAACATATGAAGGTGAAATGAAAGAATCTCAGTTGTTAGGTTTAGGAGAAGAAAGGAGAAACTTTAGATAGTAGAGGTATTCATGGTCCTCATCTTTGATGGCCTTACAGTGAAGCAAATAGCCTAAGTAGTTCAAGATCATATACCCAGAAGCAGCAAGTAGAGCCTCCAGGCTTGTGGATTCAGCCTCGTATGCAAACCTTTCAGTGGGAGCTATGGTGCACTGCCAGTCAGGAGCCAGCACCCCAGCAGTACCACGTTCTGCAAGGCTACGTGGCCATGGGTAGGAGGGGAGGTAAAGCAAAGGCTGTTGCCAGTATTCACTGCAGGACTCAGATGAGCTCTCAGATCACTGCCACCTGAGATCTAGTGCTTGGACTGACACCAAATAGAATTGTGCCTTTAGTGTGAGCTTTCCCTATTAAACTTTATTCTTTTTGGGGCCAGGGAGATGGCTCAGTGGAATAAGCACTTCCCTGGCAAGCTCAAGGCCCTGAGTTCAATCCCCAGTTCTGCAAATAAATAAATAAAATAAACTTTATTCTTTTTCTTTTGGGGGGGAAGTTCACTGGGAATTGAACTCAAGACCTTGCACCCTATTAAACTTTATTAAGTTTGGTTTTTTGTGTTCACTTTTTTACCCATCCACTTTGTTTCTATTGGAAGAAAATAATTAGATGCATTAAGACTATTATGAAAGTTATTGTCTTCATCTTTTATTGTTGTAACAAATTGCCACTAACTGAGTGTAAGGCTCTGTACACTACAAGTCCAACCTGAGTTCCACTGGGCTAAAATAAAAGGTGACAGCAGGTTTGTGACCCTTTCTGTAGGCTCTTGGGGGGCAATTCATTTCCTTCCCTCCTTAGCTTCCCAAGCAGATTTGGCTGTGGAAAACCAACTCCAGAATTGATGAAAAGAGAAAAAACGGAGGTAGGCATTTAAACCCTTGAGTTTCAGTTTCCTTTAGTTAAAGCAAAATGCACTGTTCTCACTGGCTGACACCCAGCTGCTGTTAAGTTTCCCGTAGCTCTTCCTTAGGCAATTTCTTCTCATTTCCAAGTGGGGGTTTGATAGTCAAGGGTGAGTGGCTCTGCCCTTGGCCTCTGTTCCTCAGGCTGTCACCTGTCAGAGGAGCTAAGGCAGGAAGGAGGCAGCTGAGCCTTAGCCCTCAGGTGGGCCCTTTCAGTCCCTCTGGCCTCGCCCATTGGAGTCCACCTTCTTGACCCTCCTGTCAGCCCCTCATATCCAGTTCCCAGGGCTGGGTTTCATTCCCAAGTCTCTATTCCACTTCTCTTCTGGGAAAGGATGAAGAACACAGTTGGAATGGCACTGTGGCCACTTGGATTGTGTTTCCAGTTCCCCCTCTCCATGAGGATGCCTAACTTCCACCTGCTGGAGTTGTTAGGGTTGAGTAGGTGCCACCAACTCAGTGTAAGCCCACTGTGTTTACTTTTCCCTCAGCAGCTCCAGAAGCTTGTGTGCCTTTCTTAAAGGAACAAATTACCAGGCAGCATTTGTCATTAGCGTTTTCTCTGTAATGCAAGCCAAAATAACTTCCTTTACCTTTGGGTAATATAACTTACTTTAAATTCCCACCCGACTTCCTGTATTTTTAGGTATTTCAAACTGACAAGGCAGCCAGGTTGCCTCTCTGGGCCTCTTGTAGACAGAGTCAGGATGGGATGTCTAGGTCTGTCCCTTGTCAATGCCCAACTGTTCCCCTTCAGCCCCTGTGTCACTCTCCATCAGCCCAAGTTTCTAGCTAAGCAAATGATAGACCAGAAATTTATTGGAGGGACATCTGTGAAGGCCAAAAAGGACAAGGAGCAGTACTAGGCAGGCAGTGCCACTGGGCTGCTTCTGGACACCCATGAAAACAGAGCTGGAAGGGAAGGCGTACGTAGGACAAGTCCAGCCTGCAGCCCAGAGATAATTTTGGTTGGCCCAGTGGGAAGTCCAACAAGCTTCGTGGCATGCTGTCTCCTACAGGAGAACTGCCTCCTAGCAACTTTGCCTTCAGATGACCCAGCACGGCTCTGCCACACTTCATGGCTTCTCCTTGGTCTCCTTGGCAGCATCTCTGTGGGCCTTCTGCAGCTCTGCTCGTTCAGAGAATTTACCATGGAATAGAAAGTGCTGGACCTAGACTTGTTGAGCCCAGGGTTTGGGCTCTAGCACTGCCACTTATGTAGGGCATGCAGACCATGCCCTTTCCTAGAAATGCAGAGAAGAGCTCCGGCTTGTAGGGAAACAAGCAAGCCAACAGGTAATTAAATGGACAGTGCAGCAGATAAAAGGGCAGTATCAGGATAGGGATGGACACTTCCTGAGGATACTTGGTGTTCTTCCCATCCACACTTGCTATGGCATCAACATCCCTTAGTTTTTCTTCCACAAAGTAAAATTAGGTCCCTAAAATCAAACATATTTTCAGTGCCTGGCACCAAAGCAATGGGAGGCAACTGCTTATTATCAGTGAGGGACACCAGCCTGAGGGCTTCCTCCTTCAGGGCTTCCTTCAGACTCGCTCTGGGAGACTCATTCCTCCTGAAGGGACCTAGTGTGGACCCTGTGGGTCAGTCTCTTGGGAGCCTCTGCTGGCTCCCATAGGCATCAGAAGACCCTGATAGAGACCTACTCTGTGTCGTGCTACACTTGTCACCCTGGCTTAAAGTTGTCGGCCTTCCTTATTCTGAGCTGGGGCAGAAAGAGCCAGATGGGGTCCACCCTTCTCAGAAAATCACAGATCATGGGCCCATGAGGGTGTCTAGGAGAGATGGCTGAAGCTGGCAGCCCGGCTGTGAGAAAGAGTCCCTGGAACCTCCGGAGAGGGCTGTCAGCAGGGACAATGGGTTGACTTTCATACTACATGTAGTCGTTTCCTGGTTCTCTACCCAATTCGTCAATTTTTATTAGATGTGAGGCATTGGAAATTTTACTTTGTCAGGTGCTTCTGTAATACTATAAATACTCTTGATCCTTGTTCCAGGATGATCCTTCCCTTGTTTTTTTTTTGTTTTTGTTTTTTGTTTTTTTTGTTGTTGTTGTTCCTTTGTTTTTTTTTGTTTTTGTTTTTGTTTTGGCAGAACCGGGGATTGAACTCAGGCCCATACGCTTGCCAAGGAAGCACTTATTCCCCTGAGCCACCTCCCCGGCCCTTGAAAATGATTTTAATTTTTGGATTTTGCTTTTAAAGTTTTTTGGCAGATCTAGAAGAGGGCTCAGTCTAGGACCAGTTGTTCCCCACTATGGAGGTGAGATCTTCCTTCCTACATTCTGTTGAATGCGAGGTAAATTATGAGTTTTTCCAGTCTGGCTGGCAGAAGTTTCCAGCTCTGTGTGAGCTCTAGTCCTTTCAAATGAATGTTCCTCATGTTCTGGTATTTTCCTCATACATGCTAATTAATATTTCTTCTTAAGGAAATATTAATATTTCCTTCTGCCCTTCTCCAGGGTTTTCCCTCCATGCAGAATTTCACTCCATGAAGTCTAGCTGCCTGAGTCTCTATGGTTTCTCAGCTCCATCTGCTCAAGACTTCTTCAAGCTCTCCTGGGGTTCCTTATCTCTCAGCCAGCCTGAGAACTCCAGGTAGTGCACTGGGACAGCTGAAGGGTCTCTTAGAGATCACTGACCTTCGTTGCCTGGTGGCCAGATTCTTTGAAGTTAATGATGTACATAGTTTGTATGTTTTTAAAATTTTTATTCAAGTGAGAGAGCTTATTAACCAGGGTGAAATTTCTCATAAGATATTTTTTAATAAGAAAATATTTCTTCTAAGAATTTGGCTCACATGATTATGGAAACCAAGAAGTCCCACAATCTGCTGTCTATAAACTGTAGACTCAGGAAATTAGGAGTATAAATTTCAGTCTGATTTTCAAATACTGAAAGTAGGAGAACTGATAGTATAAGTTCCAGTCTGAGGACAGGAGAAACCCAATGTCTCAGCTCAAGCAGCCAGGAAGAGAGAGATGAGTCAACCTTTCTGTATCTTTTTGTCTAATTCTGGCTCTCAATGGGCTAGTTGGATGAGGCCCACTTACCCTAGAGAGGACAGTTAGTTTTACTTAACCCTACCAATCAAATGCTAAGCTTCCCTAGACACACCTCTTCCAGACATTCCGGAAGTAATGTTTAACCAGATATCTGGGCACTTGTGGTCCAATCTACTTGACTCATAAAATTAAGCACCAGAAGTCCATCCTTGTCAACTGGGTATCTGTGAAACTCTGGTGCTCACTTCAACAGCACATATATTAAAATTGGGACGATACAGAGAAGATTAGAATGGCCCCTGCGCAAGGATGACATGCAAATTCGTGAAGCGTTCCATATTTTCAGATGCAACTAGAGACCATGCTAAGTGAAATAAATCATACCTGCATATGTAAACATCGTTTGTCTCCCTTGTGTAAGAACCTGGAAGAGTAAATAAAATCTGAAAGATGCAATAGATACTATGAAAGGGAACAAAACTGTCCAAAGGAAAGAAATAAGGGAAAGGAGAAAAGGGAAAAAGAAATATGTATGTGTATACATAGGGTAGCTTGGATAATTGTACTGCTAATTTCTGCTGGTGTACTGTAAAGAGCAGTTAATGCTTAAATTTTTTCCTCTCTTTTTAATTTTTTTTGACCAACTCTGTGCTTTTGTCTGGTAATCTGAACAACTAATTTTGAAGACAACAATACACAGTATAACTGTTGAATTCCTATTATTTTGTTTAGTGAAATTCTGTATCATTTCTTTTTTTTTTTTTACTATTCTTTAAAAAATTTTTAAAAATTTAAAAAGAACCCTGTATACTCAATCTCCTAATAAAGACAATAAGAAAGTCGTAATTCTGCCACACACACACACACACACACACACACACACACACACAACTATCCTGCAAACAATAAAAATATGCACTAACTCCTTTCCCAGAAAAGAAAGTAAAATCCTTGATGTCCATGGTACTTAACTATTACAATATAAAATTAACAAGACAAATACCATGATATAAAGTCATAATGTTATGAAACATTTTATGTTGTATCAGAACATAAAAGGGAAGAATACAAATATATTTGAAATAAGGAGGAAATACTTGTGACAGTTTCAGTCCTTTCTGTAGCTGGTCATACAGTCTCATAGTGCTATTTATAATCACCTTCTTCAGGTACCCTGCATGCTGTATTCCCTTTACCTTCACAAAGCACCATAATTGGGCATGGTTCTTTACCCAGTGGGGTGATCCATATCTTCATTCCTGAACAATCTCGGTTATTAGTGATCCTACCTTGATTGACTGTAATTGTCCCTGATCTTATCACCGAGCACAATGATATTAAGATCTGCCCTAAGGGATCAACTGTATTCCACACATAACTCTTGTGGAGTGATAGTCCCATTTCCCCTGGCAATCACCCAGCCATCACAGTAACTTCTTTCTTTGCTTGTTCATTTGGAGGCATGCAAAAACCCCACTTAACAGTATGGTCTTAGCTTCTACTTCAATGGAATCATTGTTGTGTCTCCTAATGGAAACATTTGTCCCTTTAGAACCAAGACCTCTAGGCCAGCGAGAGTATATGGTCATAGATAAGGTAGCAAAGCTTTTACTGCTATAAAGTAGTAGTATGTCCCTCCTAATTTCTTTCTCTTTCTTTCTTTTTGTGAGACAGGGTCTTGCTATGTTGTTCAGGCTGATCTTCAACTCACTATGTAGCCCAGTCTGGCCTTGAATTCACAGTTATCCTGCCTCACCCTCCTAAGTGCTAGGATTACAGGCATCTGCCACCACACCCAATTCCCATTTCCATTTTATTTCTGGACAATGGATCCTGTAGGAGAAATAACACCATATACTGGAGGCTAACTCAGAGCCTATACAAACTTCTAGGGAAACTTGCCCACCCTTATATGGTATTGTCTCCTAGCTGGGGCTATAACAGCATTTTGAAAGGACATCCTACTGTCCTATCGGATGACAGAGAGAGTGGTTTCCCAAAAGAATAGTTATTTGGGGATGATATCAGCCTCTTGCTCCAGAATCTTCAAGGGCACCTTGGGGCCTACCAAAGGCTCCAGGCACTGTCTCTGTCTGTCGGTGGTACCTCACCTTGGATCTCTTGGGTCATATGGCTACGTGGCACAGCCGTTTCCATAACAACCTGGACCTGTTGAGCATTTCCTTGCTTTGAGCTCTGCTCAAAATATACAGCTTTTGGCATCGCCTTATAAACATATACTGTCACACTCAAATGAAGAGTGTGTGCCTCTGAAACAGAAAGAGGCCAGCTAAGCGTTGTACAGATTTTTTGCTTGTGGGAGGGGTTGGATATAACAACTTCTCTGCAAAAGAAAGCCCTTGGGTATTCACTGCAGCAAATGGCCATTGATTTGTGTTTTCCGTTTTCTGTCTTCTGACAAGTAAATGTTTTATCATTAAGTCTAGAGTAGTTGTTACTTTTTACTAGCATATTCAGTGCAGTGGATTCAATTGATAGCTTGTAGAAGGGAAAGGTATTGGGGATCTCTATAAATAAATTATGACAAAGGACTGCAGAGTTGGTAGAGTACTAAGGTAGAAGTTATGTTGCTGGCTTTGCAAAGTGAAAGAAAACTGATTCTAGTGGGTCCCATTGATAGATATGGGAGAAAAAGCATTTTCCAAATGAATAGCTCTTTTCTTAAGCAATGAAATCACATCTGGTAAAGCAGCTGCAGTTGAGCAACATCTGTTCAAGCTTAGAATAACCCACTGTCCTTCTCCAAGATCTACCTGTCTAATTACAGACTAAACAGCATGTTGAGTGGGGATGTGGAAGACACCTCTTCACCCTTCAAGTGCTTGAGAGTGGCATTGGTCTCTGAAATCCCTACATTCCCCATCAGGTAACCAGTGAGAGTATTCTGACAGCTACTAAGGATATATTTCCATTTTGCATTTCATAACTGGGGAAATAACTACAGGGTAGATCTGAGGACTCACTGGACCCACTGAAATGAGGTAAAATTCCTTCCTTCGTGTGACCTTGATAAGCACCTGCTTTGAGTTATCTGCCATGGTGTCTCCTGGAGTCAGTGTCAGTGCAGAGCTGGAGTCCCATAGACACTGAGAAGTGTGATCATTTCCCTGCCCAGAGCACAGGTAGCCTGGCAACAGGCCATGTGTAGACTCCTTGGATAGAAAGAGTAACAATGTAAGTTTTTTTATAGGGTGTCAAAGTCTGTGATACTGAGAAGTAGAGTGTTCTCCACAAGACTCATGTGCTCAGAGATGGGGCTTTTAGAAAGCTATGGACACAAGGCTACTGTGCTCATCTGTGAACTGATCCATAATCAATTAGCCAGCTCTCCCCACCATTGCTGAATCCACATGACTGGATGTGCCACTGGGAGGCAAAGCCTAGTTGGGAGCGGCAACCATTGGAAGAGTAACCTGGAAGGTGCGTCTCCCTCTTCGCCTTCCTCTCCACTTCCTGGCCCCCATAATGTGAACAGCTTTCCTGTGCAGCAGGCCCTCCCAGTAGGCTGTTTCTGCCTTTGAGCCAGCCCACCATGGACTGAGACTTCTGAAACTGGGAGGCAAAAGAAACTTCTCCATTAAGCTGTGAGTGTTGGGTATTTTGACCCAGCAATGAGGAGGGTGACTAAGACAGGGCCTTTCCTCAGGAAGACCCACCTCTCCTTCAGTCAAAGGGTTTAGGTCTGTAAATTGACTTGTGTCTGGGAATTGATGGTTTTTATGCATTAAGACTAGACTTTTGTTTATTTGTGCTGGAAACTTTCAGCCTATATTGATAAAATAAGAATCTGACAGGCTTCCTATCTATTTCAATTCTGTGAATTCCATGATCAATTAGCCAGGTAACACACACACACACACACACACACACACACACACACACACACACACGTATGTTGCAGAACATCGGGCAAGGAGAAAACATGGTAGATTGCTTATATGAAGACAGATGAGACCTGGGCCTACAACTTGCCCATGTGATTTGGAACAAAGTACTTTCCGTCATTGGGCTCCATTTCTTTCCTCACCAGATGGCCTTAAGAAACCCTCTCCTGTTAGGAAACTAGGTGCCTGTTTGGTTTTTTGTTGTTTTGTTTTGTGAGAAGGTCTTGCTGTGTAGTTCAGCCTAGGCTTGAATTCACTATGTAGCCCAGCCCGGCCTTGAACTTGTGATCCTCCTACCTCAGTGGCAGTTTTAAACTGACTGTTGCTTTGTTTGTTCTGCTGTTTTCATTTCTCCTCCCATGGTACCCTTAGAATTGGGTAAAGTAACACCTTTCCTAGTGTTGTCTGGGACTTCAGATGGGATGACGTTCCTCTTCTGGTCTGCTTGTCTGGGTTGGGGAGATCTAGCATTGCAAAGAATTTATAATTCTGAAGGAACTTCTTCCTGCCTGTCTGAAGTGAGCAAGGAATGTTGGCTGGGCCAGGCAGGTACAGATCTGAGCCCACATCCGCACCCCACCTGCTGGTGCCCTCCCCTGTACCTCCAGGACAGCCTTCAAAACTCCACAGACATCCCCCTGCTCCCGCCCTATGGGAAAGCACAGCTTGTCCTGGTGCACAGACATCCTGCTCCTGTCTGTGCACAGCCCCTAGGGATAGCCCTATGGCAGAAGATGGTGGCAGAACTGGCAGTGGCAGGACAGGCAGCAGGTGAGGGAAGTCCTGGGGCACGACCAGCTCTTCTGATCCAAGAGATTTAGGGACTAAAAACATGACACAAGCCTCGGGTATTTATCTGAGGAAATTCTTAGGGAGGCTGATCTGTTTGAGCAATGACAGCTCATACATATTACTGGGCTGGAAAGATGGGCCAGGCATGTCCCGAACCAGTGGGTCAGTCAACGAAGGTCACCTGGGGGAGGAGCGGGGAATTGAAGAGGGGGCGAAGGACAGGAGACGCGAGAAATGGAGACAAGACAGGATTCTGATCAAGTCTCTTTTATTCAGGGGAGGTGCTGGATATATATAGTGTAGGCATAGGAAAATGACGTCGGCGGGTAAAAGGCACAAGTAACTAGGCAACCGGATTATAACAGGAAGTCCCACCTCCGGGGCATAGCAGGAGACTTATGGGAAATAGGCGGGATGAGAAGGACCATAAACTTAACTCAGCAGGGGAATAGAATGAATACCAGTTAATGACCTCCCACACAGGCAGTATTACATGTATTGCTTTTTTTTTTCCTAAATAATTCTCATGGGCTCCATTTTATAGATGTAGTGACTGACATACAAGAAAATAGAAGATCACTATTTCTCTTCCACAGTACTAAATCCCAAAGGCAAGACAGATGGAGGGCTGTTACCTGCCTGCGATG